AATATATATATAGAAATATATATTTTTAAATTTATACTTTATATATATATTTTTATATATTAGAACATTACTGAATTATTTATCTAATATTTAAATACATTCAAATATTTTGCTTATATATATCTAAATCAAATTTATATAAAATATTTTTAATATTATTTTTTTTACTATTCAATTTATATAATTATTTAAATATTAGTAAACTAAATTATATCTAATAAACATTTTTTTTATTAAGTTTTTCTTTTTTATCTTCTAATTTTAATTTCAGAAAATATTTTTTTAATAATATTTTTTATATTATTTATATTTTATAAAGAATATTAATTAATTTTGTTTTTCTTTATTTTTTTTTATATTATATTTCTTTTAATATATTTTATTAACTGAATTTTGTTTTTATTAATATTATTTTTAAGAAATTAATTTAAATTTTTTTTATTCATATTGCTATTTTTCATTATAGTTATGAAAATAAATATTCATATTTTTAACTAAATAATAATTCTAAATTATTTATTTAAATACCTTTATTATTCAATATTATTTTTTTTATTAATTTTATACTTAAAAAATAATTTTATATATTTTTTAAATTATAATAATATTCTTGTCATACATTTAATATTTATTTTTTTATTATAATAAATTTTATAAAAATGCATTTATTTTCATTTTAAAATAAATAAACTTTATTTATATTAATCAAAATTAGATTATATATATAATTAAATTTATTTTAATTTTTTTTTTTTTTATAAAAACAAAAACCTAATCAACAAAAAATAATATATTTTATATATAAATAAAAAAAAACATACTCAATCATTTAATTAAGTTAAAGCAGCAACTCCTCTTTTAACCCAATGATTAGGTAAACTGCTTTTTTCAATAGGTAAATAAATACTTAAAACATAATTTGTACTATGTCCAGTAGTACTTAAATTACCTGCTCTTTTACTAGTTTTATAAACAGGTGTTTCATAAACCTTTTTATACTTTATAAAAAGTAAAACAAAAATAAATTACATTAATATAATGTTCATAATTTTATATTTTATCAGTAGGAATAAGCCAAATATGTGGCATATATTAATAAAGTATTTTTTATTAAGATTCACAAATATACCCATTATCTAAATCCCAACCAGCTCCTTCTAGATATAAACCATAAAAGAAACACCCATCTTCAGGTCGTTTCTCTAAATCAACATTTTACTTTTTTGGATCAGATATAACTTTAAAATCAAACGACAGAGTGTCAATAGGAATTTTTTTCTTAAAAAACAAATTAAATAAATATTTTTATAAATAAATACTTTTCTTGAATAATTTTGTAAAATTCCAGTTAAAAAAGACTAAGTAAAAAAAAACCCTGATATCCAAAATGAATTCGGAGCACCTTAATCAATCCACCTCTACATTTCCTTAAGCCTCAAAACAAAATCGTTTATCCATGATCCTAAAGGCTTTAAACTCGGATAAGACACCTTGTGCCAAAAATCCGGTACTTTATTATCAAAAACACAATTAAAAACATCTTCTAAAACATTTGACATTACCAAATGACCATCAATAGCCTTACCTAAATCAACTAGACTTTAATTTACAGTATTAAGTAATTTATTAAACCTAATAAGTTCCTAAATGAGTACTGTATTCATTGACTATTCATATTTAATTGGATGTATTTACTAGACTTTCTCAATGTCAAAAAGACTTGGTAGTTTGTCTTATAAAATCTACAATTTTTCCTTAATAATCTACTCAGTGCTTTTTCCTCCTTCACCTAAACCAGCTCTCGGTAATAAAGAAAGTACATTCTAACAAATATAATTAGTTTCTAGAATTGCGCAAGATATTTAAGCATTCGAATGTAAACCGAAAATATCTGCAGTATCATTTCTTGGAAGACCTTAAATATATTTTTTATAAAAATTTAAATTGCCCTCCCTTGGAGCAAAATAAATCTAATTTTTTTAAGAAAAAAAATATCCTTCCTCTAATATATTCTTGCAGTAAAAATCCTATAAAAGAGCTTTTATTAATCTTCTATCTTTCGGATCTGTCACTCTTCCTCCATAATTGGCTTCCGCGACCATATAATTAAGTGCTTCCCATGGAATATTTTCCTATTCATTTAAATAAAGTTTCAATTGGGAATAAGAAATCGCAAAATCAGCCGATGTAAATTCATACGGAATATTCCATCCTAAAGGTCCATATTTTCGTCTTTCTATAATCACGGCATGGAAAAAGGCTAAACCGAAAAATAATTTTTTCCATTCATGAACTTTTACACATTCTTCGAATTTCCTAAAATCCTACTATTAAAAGCTTCTTAATAGATTATTTTTTAACCCACTAGGTGGTTCAAAAGTAATTTTTATTCCCTTCATTAAAATAGAAGAAGGAAAAACATCCGAAGGTATCGAAGTAAGCCAAATTCGGAAATCTTTATGTATTTTTTAGATTGGAGTCTCTAATATTCTCTCTAATTCAGGCATAAAAGATTAAGCTAAATGGCAATTTTATAATAATATCCAATACCCTTTCTCAAACGCTTCCTTTATAGAATTTTCTGTGTATTCACCTTAACCTTGTCCTAATGAAATCTAATTAAAGGTAGCTTTAAAACCTATTTGGTCGGCTAATTTTATTATTTCCAAACGCGGGTCTGCCCCTGAACTTAAAATAAATATTAAAGGAGTAATACAATTAGACTCTTAAAAAACGGCTTTTAAATTAAAAGGAGGAGGTTGAATATATTTTTCACCCATTTCATTTATTATTAATTTTTAGATTCCTTAAGTAAATTTGTCAGGGAATAAAATACGTATTATAATTAACTAATTATTTTATATACATTATAAATTTATTTTAAAAAATATTACTTATTAAAATTCATTTAAACGATTTGGTATTTTTCCTGGAAAAGGCTTGTCTAAATTATCTGCTTTATAAATTTCGTACCATTATTATTCATTTTATTCAAAATCTTCATCAAATTCACTAAATATATCAATTTTTTAAGAAAGTTCGCATATAAAAGACCATGTTTTTTAGCTTAACCATTTTTTACTGTTTTTTGGTTGTTTTTTCTCATTTTCAGTTTATGTTCCACCTAACATCATGAATCTTTAATACATATTTTAAATATAAATATTCTTTTTATAAAATTAAAAAAAAAAACCTAATTTATTATTTTGTAATTTTATTTTCAATTTCCATAATTTTAATACACATGAGCAAAGAGAAAATAAGTTTATCTTTCTCAAATAGACTTGTACAAATACTTTCATACATTAAAATTTAGAATTAATTAATAATATTCAAACACCTAAAAAAAAATACATAAAAAGTTAAAAAAAAATGAAAAAAACCTCTAATTTTTTCCTGGCACTAAGCTTTAAATAGCCTTTAAGAAGATATTAATATAAAATTCCAATGACCATTAATAAGTAGTTTCGATAAGGGCCAAATCAAGCACAACAAAATACATATTCGAGACTCTTTTAGCCACATCTTTATAGAAATCTCTAATTTAATTAAACAAAATCCTATCATTATCTTATTTTTTTAATTTTTCTTAAATTTCCTTATTATCATTTTTCGATTATTATAATTAAAATAAAAGTTTTTCTTCATTCAAAAGATCCCCTTAAGATTCGAAAAGCATTTAAAGTATTTTGCTTTCAGTCTAAACTTACTTTTCTTTATTTGAGAAATACTATACAATATTTATTTCCTTTTATTAATATTTAATAGGTTCTTCCTATTTCACTATTATATTAAGCAAATAATCTTCCAAGCCTTCCACAGTAACCTAAAAGTTCAAAAGTGTGACTTTGACACAAATTTAAGGGGAATAATGTGGTCTAGATAGCTTTGTAGTAATATAAAATTTGAATTTTTCATTATAATCAATTAATTTATCTCCAAATTTAATCGTTAAAGAAGAACTTCCATTTTTAACTAATTTTTTCTAAAGAATCTGTTAATATACACTTTCAATATTTTCCCCTGCATTTTCTAATAAAACACTATTTCCATACAATAAACAACTCTATATTTTGTTTGAAACATCCTATTAACTATTTGGTCTTAAAATAATAAGTTTTTACTCCAAATTCTTAATCCATTTATTTGCCTAAGACTACGGATCAATCATTAAAGGCCATTTATTTGAGTTATTTAAAATAATGGCATTATCAATTGAAAAAGAATCATTAGGCAGTTTATATTTATTAATCCACTATCCTATAATAATGGGATTACATAAAATATTCTATATAGAAAAATCACTTGAATGTAAAATACCTAATTCCTTTAGTTATTTCTACCATTCCTAAATGGCCTCTTCTCTATAAGCAATCGGAAAAGCCCCTAAATAAGCTAAAATTCCAGCACACAAAATGCAATCTCCTATAATACTTGTAGCTTCAATTTTATTTGTTTCAGCTTTTTATTTCCAGGAATTTTTTTCTCCACTTAATCCATTTATTAGTGTGCCAGCTCGTTCAAGTTATATTTTGCATTTCTATACTTTCTCTTCTAAGTTTTGTTTTTCTTATTGAGCTAATTAATAGGCTTTTTGTAAAGATTATAATAAATCGAGTACTTCATGTAATGTTTTTTTCTTTTCATCTAATGCACTTTCTGCTTATTTTAGTTAAGCCTAAGCAACTTCCAGTTATTTTCTTTTAGGGTCCACAACTAAAAGTGCATCATAAGTCTCTACTACAGCTTTTATCCATAATAATAAATTTCCTGCTGCTTTAGAAGCATTAAAGACCTATATATTTTTTTAAATAAATAATAAAATAAAAATTACTTTATCTTTTTCAAGAAGAGGATTAAATAAAAAAAGTTTAAGTTTTTCAATTTTTTGCAAAGGGATTCCTATAATTTTATCTTCTTTAAATTCTTTGACTCTATTAATAAGTTTATCAGTAAGTAGTTTTTTTTCGAATATTCCCAAAAATCTTTCTTTTTCTCCGTCGACCCTGGCACAACAGGTACGAGCTTTACAAATTAATCCTCATCAAATGCATAACATAATCCTTCCATAATAATAGCGACTGCTTCTGGCGGTTTAGTAAATGATTTTAAAGTAGTCATATCATTTTTCGATATATTATCTAAGGATTTAGCCGCTATAGCTGATAAAGGAAGTACTTTTTACAATTCCTATTCACATTCTTATTTTAAAGCATTAGAAATATTCCTTTATGCATTACACTCTTTTTCTTCGAGTTCACAAATTTCCATTTTTTCATCTGCTTCTTTCTATTTCTATTACAAATATATCAACATCTGTTAATTCTATTCAGTTTTCACGACTAGTTAAGGTTATAATTCCTCCAAATCCCTTTACATGCCCTAAACTTACATTTCCGTTTACAAAATTTTATTAACACCAATTTCATACATCTAAATAACACCAAAAATCTTCCTTTTTCTCTCCTCAACTAGCTTTTAGAAAATTTTCAACAATTCGAAATAAGAAGAAGGTGTCACATAATAATACATCCTTAATTCTTATAAATACCTTTAACTTAATTCACTAATTCTGATTTACATATCCACTGCAATTTCTACTAAACCTTCCGTTTTTTCTATTTACATAACTTTTTCGAAATGATTACTAGCCGTAGACCTCAAAGCTTCCCCCGTCCAAGCCATAAACCAGTCTATAGTCGTACAATTCACTAGTGAAGGAAAAGTTCTCAGTCTTCTTCTAAAAGCTTCCCCTACAGGCGAAAATGTTAATACTAAATGCAAATATTGTTTGCATTATTTTATGAACTGATTAAATTTTTCAATTGAAGTTCCATTAAATGACTGACCAATTTCTTCTATGATTTCAGTTTTTTCTTCTTATGGAAATAAATTCGGGATTTCTCCGTTATTTAAAATATTACAAATTTCTTCCAACATACTTTCTTTCAAAATCTGACTATCCGAAAACATAAAAACTACATTTCTATTTTCTAAACCTGCCATTTTCATTACTTTTTAAACCTCTTCAACCCAATTTTTCTCATCTACTTACATACTTTCATTTTAAAAACAAATAAAACTTGCTAAACAAGCCAATGATTTTCTTCCACTACCCCCTACTCCTATAAGTAGAGCATGTCCAAACGAAATGTTAATTACCCTACAGATTTTAATAATATGCTAAATAGCACCCATAAAAAGTACTAAATTTAACTTATTGTCTTAAAAGTAATTATTAAACTCATTTAAATACTCATAACATTTCCTCACTACTTCATTTCTGTTTGTCAGTTCGCAATAAACATCCTACAAAGGCCTTTTTTCTCCTTCGCAAATTATAGGGATGAACTAAGCGAAAAGCAAAGGCTGGACCAATACTAGACTATTCCATTCTTTTTTAAAATTTTTGAGTACAATTTATTTTAGAATTTCTTCGAAAATATTCTAGTCCTAAACACTTATTAATCTGTCTTAAAATACTCTCATACATTCATGCGCCCACAATTTTATAAAGGCATTACTTTCTTCTAATAAAAAACTACGAGGACAAGCTTTCGATATGCCTTAAAAGACCTTCGAAATATCTCTCAAATTATAAATATAATGAGACTTCGCAGGCGTTGGTAATAAATCCTTTGAAATTTAAATATTATTATACAACTCAATAGTACTTTTGACAATATTTGCTCCCATTTAAACTATTCCTTTAGAAATATTTCCTTAATATAATCCAAAATACCACTCCATTACGCAACTAAAAATTCTCACTAAAGACTCTTCATCAAAAGGCTAAACATAAAGTAAATTAAAATGCCTTAAATACCTTCCTGTAACTACATTTTGTCCCCCAGGTAGCATTGCAGCCACAAAAATTATATCCTAAAGAACTTTCCAGTCTTTATTTTCCAAATCATACCAACCACCTTCATCCATCCATTATCTTAGAAGTTCTATAGGCGGTTATGCCCCATATATTTCCTTAGCCGGCATATTTAAATCATCAATAAAAATAACAATGTTTTTTTTACCCTATTCAGGCCCGAAAACTCCTTTCCTTCTCCTACTATTTACTTTTGATTCGATTAATCTCTGTACTTAATTCACCTAGGTTTATCCTGAGAAAGATATAAATAAATTCGAGTATTCAGCATTAAAATAATTGTTTTGTAATTCTTTTATTATATTACTAGTCTTACCTGTCCCTGTCGGTCCGCATATTAACATATGTATTTTATTTTATATATATTTATTTAAGAAATAATTATTTCTTATTGAATCATTTGTTGGAACTATTACATCTAAGTATTCACCACCTTTAGGTACTGTTTATTTTTCTACTGTTTAAGTCCAGTTTATCCATTTAAGTTTTTTAGAATCATAACAGACATCAAATACAGTATTTTTTTCAGGTATTTTTAAGTTAATTTTTCTCGGCTAATATTAGAATTTTATATCTAATTATAAATTATAATTATTTATTATATCAGGTGAACCCTAAATATATGTTATTATTTTTTGTATATATAAATGTAATTTTTTTTACTTATATCAATTAATTAAATATTTCATTAAATTTTTTCCTTGAATTTTCTTCTAAAGCCCCTCCGATTCCCCAAATAATTGAAAAAAAAGTAACATTAGTTAAAATTTCTTTTATTTCTTTCGGTATTTTTTACTCCTCACCAACTTCAATATCTTAATAATCTTTAATCCAACAATTAAGTATTTTAATAACAGAAAAAACAGCATTCATGTAATTTTTATAAACTAAAAACACTCCAAATCTTAAACTCCACGACAAAATCACATCAATTGCCCAAAAAAGTAAATTTTATAAAAACTCACTCCATTTTTAAAGACACTTAGGTAAACTTTAAATAAAGCTGTTTACCAATGGAATCCAGCCTAATTAATTGAGTTCCAAAAAAACCATACCACACCTACTTACAGTAGCAGGGGAAGCTAAAGCTAAATCTTAAACTTCAAAAATTATGGTCATACCAATAGTCATTCTAATAATTTCTCCAGAAGTTAAACATAATTTCTTATTATCATCTAATACTGTGTTCATATTTTCAATCCAAACAGCATCTACTGGTCCATCGAAAATTATCCATTTTCGATCTTAATTTTCAGTATCTTATAAACAATTTCTCATTATTATAGATATTACACCATCAGACCAAGTTTTAGTATCTGGATCAAATTTTCCATATAATTAATCACTAATTTTTTCAAAAAAAATTATAAAAATATATATAAAAAATAAATATTTACATTGTGATAGATTTAGGATTTATTTTCTAACTTTATACATTTAAATATTGATCTATTCCTTTTAAAGAACTAATAGCATTTTATAAACTAGTTGTAATAGAGGATTTTCTAATAAAAAATATATTATAAAAAAGTAAAAAAAAAAAAAAAATAAAAATATGTTTATATATATAAAAATAAATAATAATATATATATATATATATATATATATATATATTTATATATTTTATATATATATATATATTTATATATTTTTTTTTTTTTTTATTAAAAATTTTAATTGTATTTTTTTTTAAAGATTTTAATATTTATATTTATATTATTGTTTACCCTGAAAAAGCATTCCCAACAACCATAATACCATGTCTTACATTAATAGTGTTGAAAAGTTCAATACATTTATTAAGAAAATTTTTTTCCGGTTATAATTTTAATTCTTAACATGAATAAATTAAGGCTTTTTCTAACTTTTCATAATCATTATTAGGTAATTAAACACCAGGGAAAAGATCATTAGTAATCGAAGCGAAAAGCTAAACATCATTGAGTGTAAACTTTGGTATATTAACATCCATTAAAGCTCTCAAACAAATAATATCTTCTTTATCTTTTGAAACTCTTTTTAAATTACCAGCAACTGTTAAAATAGCTTTAAGAGCTCTCATACCGAAATCATAATGATCTTAAGTGCTTAATTATTCTGAACTAAGTCTTAAAGAAGTCACAATCTAAAAAAAAAACAGAAACTTATTATAAAATAAACAATAATTACTTTTCTAGCCAAATTCCTAGCATCCTAAAATCCTACTGAATATAAATAAATTTCAGAAATCAAGGCATAATCAGGCACCATCATAGCACATGGTCTAAAAAGAGCTTTTAAATTATCAGGAAGTTTCGATCTTCCCTCATACCCTGGATTCATAGTAATATTAATAGCACAAGACAACACTAATTAAATAGACTCTCCATCAAACATAAAATCCTTTCTTTTTTCTTTAATAGCACTCTAAATAGATAAAACCTATTAAGCAATAACAGAAATTACTTCTAAATTAATTTTATTAAATTCATCGAAACAACACCAAGCACCTGAAGAAGCTATTCCTTTGAAAAATTTCCTCATTGCAAGGTAATTTAGTCCATCTGAGCAATTAAAAATAACTATTTAAACTCCAACCGCTTTAGATAAATCTTTCACAGTTTCCGTTTTACCTGTACCTGCAGGTCCTTCAGGTGCACATCCGTATTATAAATGAAATGCTCCCATTAAAGTTCTATAACATCTATCTGTTAAAGGAGTTATTACTAATCTATTGGAGTTTCCTTAATATTCGAATCTTATTTTTTTTTTATATATATTTTTTTTAAATATATATAAACCCATATTTTAATTATGCATTTATCATTTTAACTAACAAATATTATTCATTATTTGAATCTTCCCAATAATATCTTAATTATGATGTCCAAATAAAGTCTGTCAAATTATAACATCCTTATTCTTCTAATTCTTAAATTACATCCTTTGCATGTACATCTAATACAATCAAAGCACCTAAAGTAAGTCTTACTAAAGGAGATAAATCTTGCCTAACTAGATTTACAATTTCTTAAAATTATTTTTCTAGAAAATCTAAATATTGTTTTAAAGTATTGAATTCTAAATTAAATAATTATATATTATTATTATTTATTGCTTATTCAGAATAATATGTCTATTTTAAAATTTATATATATATAATTATATATTTATATATATATATATATATATATATATATATTTATATATTTAAATTTTTTTTTTTTTTTATAATATACCCAATTTAACATATTAACTGCTAATACTATTTAAGAAGGCCATTTATTTATCCATTATATTCTTTCAGATTAATTATCTTTCATACAATCTTTTGTTATTTACATTAGTGTTTTTTTCATGCATTTTTCTATTTTTAATAGCCATTTTTCTACATTACCTTTCATTTTTCCTTTATTTACGTCTATTTTTTTTAATAATTTTATATTCTCTTTTTCACTTGAAATAAGTCCTCCAACCTGATATTTTTTTTACAAAAAAATAAAAATAAAAAAATTATTTACTTCATTTTGAGAATAGAAATCAAGCATACTAACTGCTTCAAAGCATTTATTTATATGCTTTTGAACTTTCATAGGATCTTTAGTATCCGCGAGTATTTCTAACAATTCTTCATCTGACAAAAAATAAAACCTTGGGAATTCTTTTCTTTTAGATTCTAAATAATCACTTAGGCTTTTTTAAATTTAATCAATGCTCTTTTTTATTCATAAAAAAAAAAAAAATAAAAAAAATAAAAAAAATACTTTATTAAAAATTAAAAATTCTTATTTAATTTTCTCAAATTCTAAGTATTCCCAAATATTCGGATCTTGACTGAATTAATTCATAGTTACCTTCCAAAAATTATCTATTTTATCAAATTTCTTCTTTTCTTTTTCCATTTTTTTAATAATATCTTCAGATGTAAAAATAGGTTCTAAATACATCCACCCTCTTTAACATTTATTCCATTATTCTAATGTATCTTAAAAAACAATAATTTTATGTTCTAAACTTTATGCATATTTTAGAATAGGTTTTATATAAGGAGAAGCTTTCATCATAATTAAATTATTTAATTAATCATCAAAAAATTATTATATTTATTAAACACCTTTAAGTATAAAAGTCCCAGTTTTTTTATATCTAATGATTTCTATTTTTACTACTTTTACTTTATCTTCCATTTCTTTTAATTTTCGTTCAATTTTCCATTATTTATTAGCTTTTATGGATATTTCTTAGATATGTTCTTTATAATTACCTAATCCTTTATCTATTAAAACTTTTAAATTCAATCTTTCAATAGGTTCTATGTCTGTTATATTTGCATATGCAAATATTTCCTTCCAATGAGATTGGGATTTCTTTAAATTACTCATAGCTTCATTAGATAAATATTCTATAATCCACATTTTATCTCGGAAATTTTCTATTTCTTTTTTAAATTCTAAAGATACATTTAAAGCTAAATCATTCTATAAATCAATAAAAGTCTTACATAAATTTATAGATCCTTTATAAAATATTTAATTAACCTTTTTTTCAATTAAGTTAAAATTTTTAAATATAATAGGACTATTATTTTAAAATAATCTAAAATATATGTATGTATAAATATATAAAATATATATATATATACATAATATATATATATATATATATATATATATATATATATATGTATAATAAATATTTTATTTACCTTTATGTCCAATCTTATAGATCCATTTCAAATCCTATACAATATTCCCATAATTTTTAATATGGCAAAAATTCTAAATAAGTATTTTCTATATTTTAATAATTAGATACATTTTATTTTAACATAATTTCTCTTTTAATTATTTTTTTATTTTTGTCGAAAGCATGCTTTATTTTATCATTTAATTGATAAACTTCGCTTATATTTTCTTTTACATTTTTATAGTTGCTTAATAGCTTTATCATTTCTAATTTTTCTTTAATTTATTCAAGTTCTTATTCAAATTATTCCTTTTCCTATTATAATTTATTTATTAATATATCTTCTTTATTTTATGCATTTTTTATTCCCTCTATTACTTTTTTCTTTTAATTTTTATTTAAATGATAAATATAATATAATTTAAATTTTAACTTTTATATCAAAAGAATAAGTTTTTAATAGCCAAAATTATTAAATAATTTATTCGTCAATATAGTATTAATATTATTATAAAATATCCAAATATTCTTATACACAACTAACTTATTCTTACATTTTTGCTAAATTTAAATCAATTTCATCCAAAATATTTTTTAATTAAATTAACTCCTCCTCATTTTAAGGATCTTTTACAATTTATTATAATATTATGTTATATTCATTATCAATTCTTAAATTAAAAATAAAAAAAAATCATAATAAAAAAAAGAAAACCTATTAACATTTATCAATATAATATCTTTCAATTTATCTAAAATAGCTTTAATTAAATCATCAGATCTTTAAACTAACATTTATTTAGTTTATTCAATATTAATTTAGAAAAAAAACCCGTTTTTAACATCAATACAAACCATCTAAATACTCATTTTAGCCGCACGAATTTCTTACAATTTACTTTCGATTTCGCTTTTATTTAAATTATAAACGAAACTATTCTCTTTAATATCTCCAAAAAGAGTTCTTACTACTTTATTAATTGTTTTATTCATTAAAAATGTAAATTAATTAAATTTATTTAAAATTTATAAAGGATCTTCATATCCGATTTAAACATATTCATGTATTTTTTCTTTAGCCTTAACTATTATATCTAAATAATTTCCAATTTAATAAATAGGGACATTTTTATTCAAATCAATTAATGGGATTAAATAACTTTCTAAACACTTAAACATATTGACAGTATTAATTAAATAATCAAACGGCTCATTTAAGACATCTAAAATTTAATCAATATTAGGTTCTATATAAAAAATTTCATTTGACTTTATTTTGAATATTATTATAATAATAATAGTAAATAATATAATATACTTTATTAAATTCAATCTCATTTTAAATTTCTTATTAACTTGAATTCCCGTTAGTTTTACTTTTCTGATATTTTTTTTTATTTTTTTCAATTGATTTGTTATGATTTGATTTAGATTTTAAATAAATAATAATAAGAGGATTTTTGCTAATATTCCAAAGGTCATTATTTTATGGAATAGTGAACATTCTTAAAAAATTTAAATAATTATTCACATTTTTATATACAATATTTTCCTATATATGATAATTAAAAATTAAATTAATTCTTTTCAAAAATAAATTAAGTTCACTTTCCATATAAGAATTTTTATCAGTTACATAAAACCTAAAACATTACCTTAAAAGATCTTAAATTTCAGAAATAATATATTCTTTCCATTTTATTCTTAGAATACTTGACTATTTTAAATGAAAATTATATTATTATTCTTAAAATTAATCTAATAAAAGCGGAATATCTTTTATTTAATTTGTATTAAAAAGCCTAAAGTCTTCAAACTCTTGGCATTTCGAAAAAATCATATGTAAAGTTTTTACAATATTTTTATTTTTAGAATAATGAATTATATTTAAGTCTTTCCTTTTTTTTAAAAATAAAAAAATAAAAAAATAAAAAATTTACTAAATTTATTCAAAATTATAATCTAAAATTTAAACAGTTCCAATTAAAGGAATTATTTTTTAAAAATTTCTATTTTAAATTTTCGCATCTTTCCATTTCTATAAATTTTAAGGGTCCTAGATTTCTCTTAAAACAATTCCTTTTTTAATAAAACGCACATATTCTTTTTCCACTTCCCTTAAAAGTTCAGGTAGTAAACTAACATTTTTAATTTCTTTTATTTCTTCTTTAAAATCAACTCCTTTTTTAAATACTAAATTTAATATTTCTTTTTTCCATTTATCTTATATTTATATATTTTCTTATATTCCATCCAAATATTCCAAAAATCTTTTGTCATCTCTAATTTGCTTCTTTCTTTCTTTTGCCAAATTTATTCTCTCAAAATATTTCTCTTTATTTTCCTCATTAAAAAGTATAGAAAGTCTAATTACCCATTTTTCAAATCCTGTATCCATTATTTTTACTAGAAACTTCTCCTTTATAGGATTATAATCAAGAATTTGTATATTAGTCATTTAAAATCTTTATTTATTATGTATTTAATTTGTTTTTATATATTTTATAATATATTATTACTAATAGTTTATGTACTATGGACATATGCCATGAGGCCCTTTTTTATTTTTATAAAAATTAAACCAATATTCAGGGGTTTAATCATCTTCCCAGCAGTCATATATTTTTAAAGATTCTTTTACTTAAAATTCTTATTTAGTACACTTATTTTAAGCTTCATTTTTTATTATAATTAATTTACTTTTGTTTTGATTTTCTTATTTATTGTTAATAATTTCGCTTGCATTTATAAAAGATTTATTTGTACTATTTAATTTTATGTAATTTAATCTCTAGTTGATTTTTTGAGGATTTCTTGCTGGTTTTATCATTAGTTTTGGTTATTATTTTGTTTAAAACTCACTTATCCATGTTTAATTTTATATATTTTAAACAGTTTGATTTAATAAGACTTTTTATGGTTTAAAATTATTTTAATTCATTTATTATTAGTTTTATATAATAATGTTAAAAGAGTTATTTAAATTGACTCTTTATTGACTTTTTTTCCCCTCATTATTTTATGAATGATGAACATAATATTTTTTTTTCTTGTAACAGAATTAGAAGGAATATTGGTTTCAGTATTTCTATCTGATGTAGGTAATGATAATATACGATTTTTTTATTTATTTCCTTATTATGCTGTAAAAGATAAATTCAATTACTATATTTATATGTATTATATATTTTTATGTACATAATACTTTTCTTTTTAATTCTTACTTAAAAATTTTTACTAAACTGCTTATTATTTTATTTTTATTAATTTATACTTTTATTTTTTTTTTATTTTTTTTTATAAAAAACAAATACTTTATTTAATTTTTTTTTATTATTATAAAAAAACTTATATTGTAAATTTAAATCTATTTATGTGATTTCGTTTTCATTTTTAAATATTTAATTTTTTTTATCTAATATTTACTATAATTATCTTTCTTCTTATTATGCCTCTACGAAAATAAATTTAGGCATATTTATTTTTACTAATGGCCCTATTCATTTATAGGTAAAAATCAAAAATTATTTTTAAAAAATCGATTTTTATTAAGAAAAATTAAATAACCTAATCCTTTATTATTTTTATATTTAAGATTCATTTTTATCTTATTTTTTTTTTAAAAAAAAAAAAAAAAGGAAATAAAATAAAAATTACAATTAAAATTATAATTAATATAAAATTAAAATTAAAAATATAAATACAAATTAAAAAAAATGTATACAATAATTAAAATTAATAAAAATATATATTAATAAACGTTATTTGCTTATATTTTTTAAGAAATATTAATTAGTTATTTAAAACAAAATAAAATAAAATAGATTAATATAAAATTTTATAAAAATGTATATATATATATATATATAAATATATATATATATATATATATATATATATATACATATTTGAAAAAAAATTTAAATACATAAATAATAATAAGAAATTTAAATAAAAAATTAAATATAGTAACATATTCTGTTTATAGAAATAAATTATTAAGATTAAAAAATTAGATTTGTTCATAATAAAATATATATATAAAACAAAAAATTTTAAAATATTAAAAAAAAATATTTATAATGTATATGATTTTGAGAATATTTATTAAATAAATACAATTTATTCAAATTAATAGACAAAAAAAATATAAAATAAAAACAATTTTAAATTTTGATAATTAAAATAAAATATAAACAAAAAATGAAATAAATAAAATACATAACATAGAAATTCAAGTAATTTTTAATAAAAAAAAAAGGAAATAAATAAATAGAATGCGTAAAAGAATATAATTTTTATTAATTTAATGAATATATAATTTAAAAAATAAATAAATATATATATATAAAATATATATATTTTTAAATATATAAATATATTATTATTTTATATATAAATATAATTAATATATTAATATTAATATATTATAATATTAAATCCTTTTTTTTTTTTTTTCTTTTTATTTTTTTATATTTTTTTTATTTTTATAAAAATACAAATAAATTTATTTAAAATTTTTTCTAACCTTATTTTTTTATTTTATATTTTTCATATTTTATAAACTTTCGTTTTAGATATAAATATTTACAATATTTTTTATTCTAATAATCATAACTATATACATTTTATACTAATAAATATTTTATTTAATATAAAATATGATTATAAGATTTTTTTTATATAAAATTTCAAAAGATTTAGTTTTACAAATTATATATTTAAATAATATATATTTGAAATATAAGACAAGAATTTATTTTT